GCTTTGTCCAGTTCCAAAAACGAGCACAGTCTCTCACTTTTGGGACACCTGTCCCCCCCAAATTTCACCCCCTGGGGCCGAGGGGTCTCAAGAACAGAGACCTTCTCCTCCACTGAAGATCGAGGGCACCAACCACCACCCTCCTCATCCGTTGTCTCTGTGCATGCACTTCCATAACATCACTGCACTCTCTCAGCTCCAAGCCACTGCCTCCCCCCTGGATGCAGTCTCTGTGTCACAGGAAACATGGTTCTGTCCATGGCTATGCAAGAAAAGTCCAGCCAAAGGCCACTCCATCACCTCCTCCCACCTAAGATTCTTCTCCACTCTTCCAACATCTTTCACCTGCACGAACTTGCATCACACTTGCCCATTTCCTCCTCCATTTCATCTCTATCTCTCTTCTCATTCAGATCCAGGAGGATCAGTATTTGTAAGGTTTCCATTATTCAAGAAAAGGGTTAAAATCTCAGGCTCTGCCTGCCCAGAACTCCCACGGCTTCTCACCGTGCCCCGCTGCACTCCCTCCTTTTCCTTCTCAGCTGGACTGCGCTGCCAGCACATGATATCAAATGTCAAGGTGGCACAGGGAGTTTAAGGGAGGAAAATGGGAGGAGGTTGAAGTTTTAAGGGCCAAGAGTGATGTTGGTGGTGGAGTGACATGAAGCAAGGGACAGCTGGATGGGGCCAGGGGCCTTTCACAGACATCTTTTATGAAAAATCCTTTCCTTAAGATTTTTCCTCCTGAGAAGCTGAGAGGCCTCATGGAACAAAATGTAAACACTGATTATCTGCTGCTGTGGAATGCAACAGGTGGATCTGTGATTGGTCTCATGTGGTTGTTTCTAATTAATGGCCAATCACAGTCCAGCTGTCTCAGACTCTCTGTCCGAGCCACAAGCCTTTGTTATTCATTCCTTCTTTTTTTATACTTAGCCAGCCTTCTGATGAAATCCTTCTATTCTTTTAGTGTAGTTTTAATATAATATATATCATAAAATAATAAATCAGCCTTCTGAAACATGGAGTCAGCTCCTCGTTCTCTTCCCCCCGAACACAGTCACAGAGGCCCATTCCTTTCCCACTTCCCTTGGGAAGTGCACTAAGCCAAGCTGCCTCTTGAGGGCACCCCATGATGGGACATGGACCACATGGCGTTGGACACGATCCCTCCAGTCCCAGTGGAGTTACTGGGACCAGTGGTGTTACTGGGAACAGGGGTTCTCACCCTGCAATCCTCACTCGCTGTCTGGAGGATAGCAGACTGGCCCACCTGAAACCAGTGGGAACATTCCTACCTGGAACAGCCTAATCATCACCTGATTCTGTGGCATTTGGGGTTTTCTCCTCATGGCTTTCTGAGATACTCTTCTGCAGGAGTCTGAGCAAGGTGGACTCAAGCAGAGAATCTCTCCTGGGTTAAAGACTTGCAGTGTCAAGTGTCACTGTCCCTTGCCATGGGATCAGCTCTAATAACCTGTGATTTGGGGTCTCCCTGCTGCCCAAGTGTTTTTATTTAATAGCCTTCACTGTAATTGGGTTTTGGGGAGGGGAAGTGTTTTTTTCCCATAAAACTCCCCACCAGTTGACTTTCCGTGTGAACTTTTAATCTCCACAGGACCCTGAAGTCAGGAGGAAGTCATAAGGTCCCCCTTGAGCCCCTCCCCAGCCCCCTTAACCACTCCGGGTGCTCCAGCCCCTTCCCCAGCTCTGTTCCCTTCACTGGACATGCTCCAGCCCCTCAATGTCCTTCGTGTTGTGAGTGGCCCAGAACTGACCCCAGCAGTGGCTCAAGGGGATGGGCACTGCCCTGGTCACACTATTGCTGGTCCAGGCCAGGATGCCCCTGGCCCCAGTCGCTACTTCCCAACACACAACCAGACCCAGGGAACATTCAAGGGAACACATCAAGCACAGTTTGGTCCATGCCAAAACCACATCAGGGCCACCACTCCCCACCGTCATTGAGCCAAAGATAGAATGAACAGATCTCCATGCACTCCCAATTCCACCCCAAAACCAGGGACAGGAACAGCCAGAAATGACTGAAAACAAACTGCTGAGCCTACCTCTTCCACATACTGGTACATGATGGCTTTGACAGCTTGGATGTTGGTGGCATCCATCATGAGGGTGACAGCCTGGCCCTTGCGGATCTTCACCACCCCCTTGAACACCTGCTGGTTGTTGTAGCAGGCAGCCAGCGTGGCAATGGCCATCACCTGGGGAGAGACAGCAACTTGCACTGCAAGGAACTTGCAAAGATTCACCCTGTCCATAGTGACATCCATGGAGTGGAGCCACAACCTCAACAACAGCAGAAACAGCAGGAGCCGAGAAATAAGCAAGAAAACCATCAACACAGAACCTCCTCCACCTCCAGCTCCTCACCAGCTGGGCTGCAGAGGGTGAGGAACCACTTGGAAGCTCAGCTCACCTGGGGGATAGCGCAGAAGTTGAAGACACTTTGGTTTTTGAGGCGGGACAGGTAGGTGAGGACGTCGGGGACGTGGTGGAGGGCGTTGGTGATGAGCTCATTGAGGCACTGCACGGCCGCGTCGATGTTCTCTGGCTTGGCAAGGTCTGAGAGCTTCTTCGCATATCTGCTCCAAACCTAAACACCAAGATAAGTGTTCCTGAGCTGGAGGGGTGCATTGATGTCATCAGAGAGACAGCGGGTCTGGGAGAGCAACAAGAAGCACCAAAAAACCCCCACACAACAGCCTTGGGGTAAAGAAAAGCAGGAGGAGCAGGCTGTGGGGATGTGACAGTGGCCTTGGTGCACACAAAGAGATGGTAAAGGAGGAGGGTGAAACTCATCTCCCTATCTTTGCTAGGGAGGGCAAGGAAAAGGTGAGTCACACATCAAGAAATGCCCTGTGAGACAGCTGAGCCACATGGAAAAGGGGGAGAAAAATTTTTGGATGTCATGTCAGGCACAGGCAAAGCTGATCCTGGTTTTTGGGAGCTTTTGGGTACCCTCCTGGGATCCCAGCCAGTCTTACCCTCTCTCATTCCTAGAAAAAACCTAGCAGAGAGGAGAAAGAGCTGCCTAAGTAGCTCTTGGCAGTGTATGGTGACATCACCTTGTGCCCACATCTGTACCCAGAGAGCTGCAGACAGATGGCAGCCAGAACTGCCACTACCAAGAAGATGTACAGCCAACAGCAACAATTTTATGAGGTTTTTCCTCACCTCTCTGGGCCAGAACTCCCTTCCCTCCATCTGGTCCTCCAGGTAGTCACGGATGATGTTGGTTTTCTGCAGGAAGAGGCCCATGGAGTTTGCCAGCTCTGTGTCCTGCCCCACGATGGAATCTTCCAGCTCTGATGCAGAGAAGAGACGGGAGAGGCCAATCCCCACCAGCCCAGCAACGTAGTGACAATACTGCCAAGGAGGTGCAAAGTTGGGAAAGGAGGGGGAAAAAAAACAAGATAAAAGGAGCAGTTACAAAGAGCTGCCTGTTTGCCACAGTGAGTTTTACAAAAAGCAATTGAGAGTTCATTTGATGCAAGGTCTCCCTGGGATGTCTCAGCTTTCCCATGAAAACAAACATTTTTTCCCAATAGGGATGGTCTGTCTACTCTTTTCACAGAGACAAAGAGGCCCTACCTGGAAATTTTCAAAAAAACCTGTGGATGTGGCACTTGGGGACACAGTTCTGTGGTGGCCTTGGCAGTGCTGGTGGAATGGTTGGGCTTGGTGATCTCCGAGGGCTTTTCCAACCTTAACTCCATGACCCTGCTCAAGCTCATTCCTCAGTCTGGGCTCACTCACCTTGTCCCACTCATGCTGAGAATCCACCTTTTTCTCCAAGAACTCTGCCATCCCAACACCCATCTTGTGACAAATATCTGAAATCACATCCTGGTAGACTTTGGACAGTTTTCTGAACTCCATGGAGATCTGCAGTGTGGTAAAAACAGAGTGTTCAGGAAGTAAAAAAAAAAAAAAACAAGCAGCACAGTTCAACATTTATTAACAAATCAGAAAAACACTGTTTAACAAATCAGAAAAATACTGCTTAACAAATCAGAAAAATACTGTTTACCAGGCTCTAATCCTGCCCTGGCTGGAGATCTGGGACAACTCCCTCAACCTGAGCTGTTTCAAGGTCCTTGGAGCTCAGGCTTAGCCTGTTCCCAGTCTAAACAGGATGGTCTCTGGCAGGAGATCAGACACAGCAGAATCTTTGGGAAGACTCTGTGGCCTTGGACTGGTATAATCTGGGAGCTGCAGGACAAAACTGGCTGCACTTGGTACACAGAGCTGTTTTCCTCTGTAATTTGAGAGCATTCCATCACACCAGCCATGGAAAAGACCCGTGGGAGGTTTCTGGTGCTCTGCTCTCCCTAGCCCTCTCCAGCTCTAGCTTCACACATTTGGCACAACTGGAAAGGCATCAAGCAGTGAGGGAAGTGAGAAATCCTTCTATTGCATGTCCAGTAAAGTGATGATGGAATCACAGAGCGGGTTGAGTTGGAAATGACCTTGAAGATCTTCCAGTTCCAACCCCCCTGCTATGGGCAGGGACACCTGCACTGTCTCCATCACTCTCACAATGAAAAAAAAAATATTAAAAAGTGCATCCTCCTTTTCCCAAAACTGTGGAGCATCATGTTTTACTGTGCTAAGCTTTATTCTCCATCAGTGGGGGACTGCAGCCAGCCCAGGGGTTGTGTGCAATAAGGGTTTGTCTGTAAAATAAATGTATTTACTCTGCTTCTGTCTCTGTGGCTTCAGCCCCCCTTCAAAGAGGAGCACAGCCTGCAAATGCACCTCTAGGAAATATTATTAGAAGTTTTTCACTGTAAGGGTGGTGAGGCACTGGTAGAGCATGCCCAGAGAGGCTGTGAATGCCCCCCAAAAAATTCAGGGATAGGGCTTGGAGTAACCTGGTCTAGTGGAAGGTGTCCCTGCCTTGGCATGGGATGGAATAGGATGAGCTTTATGGTCCCACCCAACCCAACAATTCCATGGTTCTACAATTTTATGATTATTAAAATTATTAAAATAATACCTGAGCATGGGTTTATGTATTTATTTTATTTCTTTTTATTTATTTTAATATTTATTAAAATATTAAAATTTATTTTAAATATTAAAACAATAGTGATCAAAACATTACATAAAATTATATTTATTAGAATATTTATTAAAATATTCCTTTAAAATATTAAAAATTTATTCAAATCATACCTGAGCATAGATTGCCTCAAATAAATAACATATACACCAAGAGAGAACAGCAAAGCGCCACAAACACCTTCTCAAAAGCTCCTCTAAAGCCAAGCCACTGTCATACCTACTGTATCTTTACCCACATCCCCTACAGCACTCCAGCCTCTGACAGGCTACAGCCACAGTCACCCCAAACCTGAGCATCAAAACTCCCAACACACTTCAGTTCTCCAAACAACCACCCCATTCCCACTGCTAGGGAAAGCCTGAAAAGGGCAGAATAAATTAAAAATGGTAAAAACTTGAACAAAACAGAACATCCTCTGAAAATGAGATGTTCCTCACCAGAACTATTACATTTTTTCTTAAACAGAGGAAAGGAAAAAAGCCTAAAAATCAGCTCAATAATAAAAAAATCAACGCAATATTGTTCCTAATTACAATGAGGATGCTCTTGTATCAGAGTTATGGAATGGTTTGGGTAGGAAGGGTCCTTAAAGCTCATCTCATTCCACCCTCTGCCATGGGCAGGGACACCTCCCACTGGGCACACAGGTGTTACATTTACATTTTTTGAAAAATCTCTTTGTCTAAAATTTTTCTCTTGAGAAGCTGAGAAGCCTCAGGGAAAAAAAAAACAATAATTATCTTATTTACATTTCTTTTGCTTATATGAAACGTGTTTAAAGATTGTTTATTTACAAGTAATTGTTTTATTGGTTTCTGGTGTGAGTTGTTTTGACTCATTGGCCAATCAGTGCTAAGTTGTGTTGAGACTCTGAAAAGAGTCACGGGTTTTCATTATTATCTTTTTAGCATTCTATAAATATCCTTTCTGTATTCTATAGTATAATATAATATAATGTAATGTAATGTAATGTAATGTAATCATAAATTAACCTTCTAAAAACATCAAGCCAAATTCATCATTCCTTCCTTCACCAGAACACCCCACAAATACAATTCACTGTGCTGGGCAACAACCCCAAATCTCTCTCCACAAGACAATGGTCATCTGCTGTTCCAGCAGAGGAGGCAAAAAGCCACTTTCCAAGGGCTGGAACTTTTCCACAGCCAGATCCCCTCTGCCCCACATCATTGCACAATGTTTGAATTTCTCACCCCAGCTTGGCACCCAGCCCCACAGGCAGGTGATGAAGCCCTTGGGAAGATCTGTGGCACTGAACAAGCTCTGCAGGCACCACGTGGAGACAACCAGGCACCCAGAGATGCCACCAGGGGCAAGGAGGAGGCTGCCTTACCGTTGGGAAGTCTTCCAGCACCTGCCTGTCCTTCTCCTTGCTCTCTGTGTACTTCCAGTCTGGCTGGTAGAGATAGGAGTGGAACTCGTGCAGCATCGGGACCTTGACATCCAAAGGGATGCTCATGTCATCCTCTACAGTATCCAGGGCACGGAGAACCAGGTAGAATATACACACTGCATGGCTGGAAAGGGAGAAAAAACAGTAAACTTTTACTTGGGAGTGCCTAGGAGGCAGGACAAGCAGCTGGGATTAACCACAGAGCCTTCAGCAGAGGCACTTTGAGCTCAGCGTGTCACACAGTGGCACTGCCACGTGCCTTTGGAAGATACCAGGCAGGAAAATCCTGGATTTTCCCTCATGAGGAGAACTACAGCATGTTTTTGGGGTTTCTAAGATGTGTATCAGGGAACTACAGCATGATTCTGGGGTTTCTAAGATGTGTTTCTCAGATGTGCACTTCTAGTGTGGCTGGTAGAGATGGAACTCGCGCAGCATTGGGACCTTGCCATCCAAGGGGATGCTCCTGTCATCCTCAGGAATCCATAGGAAATCCAGGATTTTCCCTCATGAGGAGAACTACAGCATGATTTTGGGGTTTCTAAGATGTGTATCAGGGAACTACAGCATGGTTTTGAGGGTTTCTAAGATGTGTTTTTAGATGTGCACTTCCAGTCTGGCTGGTAGATTTGGGAGTGCAACTTGTGCAGCATCGGGACCTTGACATCTAACGGGATGCTCATGTCATCCATAGGAAATCCAGGATTTTCCCTCATGAGGAGAACTATAGCATGCTTTTGGGGTTTATAAGATGAGTTTCTCAGATGGGTACTTCCAGTCTGGCTGGTAGAGATGGGAGTGGAACTCATGCAGCATCGGGACCTTGACATCCAAGGGGATGCTCATGTCATCCATAGGAAATCCAGGATTTTCCCTCATGAGAACTACAGCATGATTTTGAGGTTTCTAAGATGTCCATCAGGGAAGGGTCAGGCCTGTGAGCTCCCTGAGCAGGGAAGATCCAACACTGCAAGAATGGCCAGTGCTCACCTGGACCCAGAGGACAGAGCCCAAGGTCAGCTTATTTGGAAAAGCAAATGTCAAATAGGGAAGGGGGGGGAAAAAAACAGGTGTGTTTTCCCCATCACTCCCCCTTCTCTGCACACCTTTTACCCTGTTGGGGTAAAATATTCCTGTCCTTTGTTGGGGGGGAATAAAGGGGTCACACTGTGCAACAGGAACATTAGGAATGGCAGAAAGAGCCAAAATCAGCCTGTATTTTATATTTCCAGAAGCAAGACACTGGAAGCAGCCCATGTGTCCCAATATCCCAGCAGGAAGCTGCTGGAAAGCCACCTCCCCTCCTGCTCCCACCACCCCTGCCTTTTCCCTGCTTCCTTCCCCATCCCTGCCTCCACACTTCTGAAGCTGAAGAAAACAAACCAAACAAACAAAACCAAGTCCTGATGGCAAGAAATGCTGTTTGCAACAGGATTTATATTAAATAATCCCCAGATCTCCATGAGCACAGGGATATATGCCAAGGAGAGGAGGCATTTATTAATTGTTTAACAAATGGAAAGTAGCTTGGTCTGCTTAAATGCTAATTACCAGGTGACAGTGTTGTACTCCTGTGCAAGCAGTGATTAATCATCCAGGAAAAACTGACTTGCTCTTAGAGCCAATACTGTCAAATTTGGCTTTTTTTCCTTGACTAGAAGGGTATTTAACACCTCTGTCACACCACATGAGCAGCTCTCGTGCTCCTGTTCCTTTGCATGACTGAGTTTTTCCATTCCAGCCAGGCTGTAAGTGTTCATCCAACAGGATGCAAGTGCCCAAGGCTCCAATCTGGTTCCAGGAGCCACCAAGAAAGGCAGAGCAGAACCTGGAAATGCCATCCCAAAGGCACCTCTCACATGGGCACCATGCCCAGGGAAGAGCCAGCAGTAATTCCAGAACCCAGCACAGTTAAAACACTTCTTTAACCCCAATTCTGCATCCAGACCTTACCTGCCTCCCTAACTTCCATCACATACTGAATTTAGACCCATGGCACAAATGGAAGCAGACACCTGCAAAGTACAAGTCTGGATCTTCCAGAGCTCAAGCTCAGCCCTGTCAGTTGTAGCTCCCTCCTGCCCAGGTGAGGAGGTCTCCTTTCTCCTTGCCAGGACATACAGCCTGTGCTGGACCCTCAAGAACAGATCCTGAAGAGCTCCAGAGACAGGCAGGAGCATGGAACTGGCAGCAGAGAGGCAGGAGCATCCCTCTTCTCCTCTCCATCACCAGGAGAGGAGCCATGAGCTTGGATCAGAATCTTTTCCTCCACCAGCAGTTATGATGCTGTTGGCTCAGCCGTGGATGAAACTGCAGTTTTGAGCCTCCCACCTTCCCAGAAACACCCTAACCTTGGAGCAATGAGCTGAACAGGGCTCTGGCCAGCAAAACAAGTGGTTTATGGGGCCAAAAGAAAGCCAGGAAAGAGGAACCAAACATTTCAGCTCAGCTACCAACACCCTGCCTGGCCAGGGGAGCACTGCCCCAAGGACTCCTCCAGAAGTTCCCCATTTTCCAGCAGCCCTTCTGGGATGCCTGTCTGTAACCACAGGGGCTCAGCTGAACTCCCTGATGGGGTCAACTTCAATGCAATTACTTTTTTGATCAAAATTATTTAAGGCTGTGGCTCTACCTATTTCTCTATCCTCTCTATTTTGTATTTCCCTTGTTTGTCCCTAAATCCTCTGGTGAACTCCTAGGCTTTGAAAATGAACCTCTCCTGATCCACTACTGAGCCAGCTGTAATCCAACCACCATCCCTGCCCAAGCTGGGTTGCAAAGATCAGGCAAGAGCATTTTTAGGATGCCAGGCAGAAATTCTGTGCCCTGAAGGGTGATCCTCCTGCAGGGCTGCCGGGCAAGGATTAAATGACAAAAAACACCAAGAAAACTGCAGAGGTTTGAGGCAAGTACAGGGCAGACACATTGCTAACAGGTTTCATAGTGTTTTCTTAATTTTTTTTCTTAATTCCTGCACAGAAAAAGCATGGAAAATAAAAAGCTTAATTCTTGGCCCTATTTGTACTTTTCCATGCAATTTCAGCCAAACCACTGAACTTCTCTGCCTTTCCTGTCTACCAGGCTGCAAACACCATTTCATAAACACTGGACACAGTTATGTGGCACCATCCAAAATGCCAAACCAGGGCTCAGAAACCCCAGACCACACAGTGTTTGGGGTAGCGCCTGCAACAGCTCAGATCAGAGACATCAGATGTGTCTGGAACAACTTCCAGAACCCCTAAATTTGATCATCAACCCATCTTGAGATTAACTGGGGATTTAAAAACAGAAATCAGTAATTGTCAAATGAATATAGGGAATTATATATGGAAAATAATTACATGGCATGAGGCCCCCTGACCAGCTGAGCTTTATTTACATCCTCTGTTACTATTCCTGTCTGAAGCTTTTCTGCACAGGGCAGCAAAATCTGCACAGCAAAAAACGGGTGTGCCACAAACCCCCTGTGACAACTGCACAATTTGGTTCCAAAAGCATCTCCCAGGCAAGGCCCAGACCCTTGGTCAGTCCCCGGTTTTTCCTCACCTCCTCCCTCCACCCTTTGTCCAGCTCAGCAGTGCCAGGACACATTCCCAGGGTGTCACACGGGGCACAGTGCCAGGCCCTGTGTTTAACAGCCTGCTGGCCACAGGCTGAGCCCAGAGACACAGTTTGGGGAGGGATGTGATGCACAGGGGGGATGTGGCACAGCCAGCTGGGACGTGAAAATCCCCACGTCTGCTGCACGGGGTGGGGCTGAGCTGAGTGAGCCCAGTCAGCTCCTGATGGGAGAGGGAGCGTGTCCCAGCATCTCCACCAGAGAAAAATGGAATTTGGGGATAGGTACTGCATGGGCTCAGTTCTGATATTGGGGGGCATCACACCCACCAGCTCCTGGAGAGATCTGAAACTGGGAGGCCACTAAGTTCCCTGGGATGCCCAGTGTTGGGGTGGCATTGTACTACCCAGGGAGGAGATTTATCCCCACCATCACCACCTCTAGGGAGATTTACCCCCACCATCACCATCATCACCACCTCCCAGGGAGGAGATTTACCCCCACCATCACCATCATCACCACCTCCCAGGGAGGAGATTTACCCCCACCATCACCAAGGGGTTCGAGGGGAAAGCTGCATCCACTCCCTCTCGAGGATCCCCAGCATTGGGATGTCACCCCACCCACCACCCCCCAAAACCCCGCCTTGCCGGCGGTCACTGCACCCCTCCCCGCTGTCACCCGCTCACCGCAGCTCTCCATCCAGAGCCTGGATGACGGCGGCGAAGCTGCGGCTGGTCTGGTTGAGGTACCGGTAGCAGGTTCGGAGGCCACATCCCAGCGAGTCCTGAGGGCAGAGCGGGCCGGGGGCCGCGGGTTGGAACCGGGGGGCGGCGGCGGGCGGCGGGGCCGGGGGGGCTCCGCACCGCTGCCGCTGCTGGTGCTGTCCCCGCCGCTGTCCCGCTGCCCGCGGGGGTTTCCGCGGCGGGGACAGCGTCAGTGTCCGCCGGAGCACGGACACGGCCCGGGAGCCGGCCGCCATGGGGGCGGCAGCACTGGGGGGCTGCGGCCGCTCCGCTCCGCCCCAGGCCCGAAACCCGCCCCTTAACCCGCCCCGTGCCGTGGCCGGACACGCTGCCATGTACGGACAGCGCCGGGGCCGTGCTGGAGCAAACCGGGGATGAGCGCAGGGTACCGGCAGCGAGCAGTGCAAGCGATGCTCGGAGCTGGGGGGATGAATGCGGGTATGGGCAATGAGAAATGCATGGGAAGACTGAGATGCTCGGAGTCAGTAGGATGCTGGCAGGATACCGGCACTGAGCAATGCAAGGGATGGCTGGAGCTGCGGGATGCTCCGGCAGCACCGGCTTTGGTACCGGCACCGAGCAATGCAAGGGATGCTCGGAGCCGGTGGGAAGCTCGCAGGGTACCGGCACCGGGCAAAGCAGGGATGCTTGGAGCTCCGGGCATTCCACCGGTTCCGGGCACCAGCGCACAGGATGCCCGGAACCGGTAGGAAGCACAAACAGCACGGGCAATGCAATAGGATGCCCGGAGCCGGCAGAACCGGGAAGCACTGAGGCGCATACAAGGCGCACACAGCCGGGCAAAGTCCTATACACGCTGGATACAAGATGGTCACCCATGGCAACACCGTATCCGCGCCCGGACATGACAGTGCCTCCCACCTCCTCCTCCTCCTCCCGTGCCCCGCTCCACACCGGGAGCACCGCGCACCGGCGACAGCGAAGCGCTTCTCGCCGCTCGCGCATCCCTCGCTGCTCACCGTGTCCATCCGCGGCATGACGGCGCGGTAGCCGCCCATCTTGAAGCGGAGCAGGTTGTAGATGTCCTCGGGGTGGCCCAGCCATTTCCGCAGTAGCTCCATGGGGGCCGCGCTCAGACCCCGCCGCCGCCGCCGCGCGCTCCCGCCGCCCCCCCCACCCGCCGCTTAACCGGGCACGGGCGGGGCCGCTCCAGCCCCGCCCTGCAGCCAATCACAGCGCTCGGTACATCGCTCGGTGGGGCGGGCACGGCGCCGATTGGCGAAGGCGCGCTCGCACCAGGGCAGCGCCAGCCAATAGGGAGGCGGCGCGGCTGGTGTGACGGCCGGCGGCGGGCTCTGATTGGCTAAGGCGCGCGTCGGCACAGGCGGAGCGGGAAGGAGTCGGCGGCCCCGAACCCCCTCGTGCGGGAGGGTTGGCGTGGGAAGGGGGCGTGAAAACCTTCCAGTTCCAACCCCCTGCCATGGCAGGGACACCTTCCACTATCCCAGGTTGCTCTAAGCCCCGTCCAGCCTGGCCTTGGACACTTCCAGGGGTGGAAAGGCCACAGCTTCTCTCTGGGAGTTCCATTCCTTCCCCGTACCCCATCTAACCCCGTGCTCTGGCAGGAGGAAGCAATTCCCCCTTGTCCAAAGTCCCTTTCCAGCCCTCCTGAGCCCCTTTAGTGATTGAAAGGGGCTCTGAAGTCTCCCTGGAGCCTTCTCCAAGTTGGGCACCCCCAGCTCTGAACCTGTCTCCATCACAGAGGGGCTCCAGCTCTTAGAGCATCTCCATGGCCTTCTCTGGACTCGCTTCCACAGTCCACACCCTTCCTGTGCTGAGAACCCAACACATATCCAGCTTCATCCTCATATCCTTCAAAGTGCAAGATTCAGCTTTTGGGGTTCTTTTTTGTGAGTGGTTTTCTTCCAGAACTTGGGCATTGTGGGTCCCTTCTGAACTCAGGATATTCTATGATTCTTTGTTTTGGACAGGCACTTGGCCTGCAGAAGGGACATTAACCACCTTCTTTGGCCCCATAACCCCATTAATTCATTTATTCAGCAATCCCATAACCTGCAAGCACTCAAAGGTGTTGCAGTTCCCAGGGGAGAGGCTGTGCAAGTCCTGCCTAGGAAGCAGCTGCCTACATCAGAGGTGTTTATCTCCAGCATTCCCAGCTGATTTGCAATTCATCTTTAAAGCCAGTGCCCATTAATGAGACCACTCACAGCTAAGGAAAGGCACTGGTACCATCCTGAACAGGCTGCTGTTAACCAATTCCAGGCAGCTGGAATTTCCATGTACACCCCAGGTTTTAACCAAGAAACTGCCAGAAAGGACACACTTGAGATGAACATCACTGATTCTAATTCCAGCTTTTATTTTTTTGCTCAAGTCAACAACTCATTATTAAAATAAACTCAAATCCAGAGTGAGAGTATAGCAGCAGTTCCCACCTGGTGTACAGAGACAGCTCTATTTCCAAACCTTTCTGCCTTCAGGTTTCCTTGGAGATCCTGAGTTTTATGCAACACTGCCACACACTGTAATTTTTTTTTAATTTTACAGCAAGATCTGGAATTGGCAGTTTGCCACAAAGCTGAAACCTGTGGGTGCAGAGATGAGCTCCACCAAGCACTGCTGACGTATATTTTGTACAAGCTGATGTGGAAGGAGGAGGGAGCTGTTCCTGCCAGATTACATGGGAGCAGCCCCTCATGTTTAACCACACCCAGTCACAGCCCAGCACACAGGTATTCAGCTCCAAACAGAGGCAGGATTATTTAATTCCTAATTAATCAAGCTGCTTAGGCAGAGGGATATCCTCTGTTTTGCTGACTCCTCCAGGGTTAAGGGACAGGGTCACCAGATCACAGCAATCCCCTGCTCAACCCTTTACACTTCCCATCCACTGCCAACTGAACAGGGTGACCAATGCACCTCAGACCTGGTCAAAGTCTTTACACTGTGACAAAAAAAAAAAAACCATGGACAGACACTTTTTCCTTTCTGCAGCCACTCAGGGAACCTGGGACCTCTACTGAGCACTTCACTCTGCCAACTCCTTAAGGACCAAACTCAACAGCCTAAAAAAAACCACAGAAACCTTCTAGGACAACGAGGAGCATGGATCAGAGACCACCCAGCACCCTGCAGGACAGATCACCCAGTGACTGGGGAAGGGTCCCCATCCCCTGGCAGCACCTCAGGCTGGCACTGAGGGCACCACCACGTCAGTCTCTTGAAGCCACCTGAGGGTCCAAAAGTGCCCTTCATCAGGGGATGGCCCAGGGGACACTGCTCCTTCTGGTACACCTGGGGGTGCAGCCCTTGGCCACGTAGTTTGTGGTGCAGCCACTCAGAGCTGAACTGAAGGGCGCAATCCAGCAGGCGCTCCAGATCTGAGAGAGCCAAGAGGGAGCCTGGTGTTAAAGGGTGGATCCTGGCCAGGTACAAGATCTCGTTCTTGATGATGTTCCCTGGGAGGGGTCAGAAACAAGGAGACAGTAAGGATATTTCTAATCAAGGTAATGCAGGCTGCTGGCTCTAACTTGTGATTTCTGCCTCAAGGACCACAGCCAGCAACACCACTCCCTGTACCAGCAGTGGCATCCAAAAAGTAGACTTAGAGCTGAGATTCAACTGGACGAGGCTCTCTTCCCTCTACTGTTGTTACAGACCTTGAAGATGTCCACATGCCCTCAGCTGGATCAACCAGAAACTCTTAAACTAAAGAGAAGACCACCTAGACATGCACTTCTGCATCTGTGGACATCCCACCCACATTCCTCCATTTCTCCATCTGCCCCTATTCCCTGGAACTCACCCAGCCCTGAAAAATATCTTTGGTCTAGGAGGGTGCAGCAGACAGGATCGGGTGCACGGAGGGCACGTAGCGCCCGGCCTCGGTGGAATTCCACAGACAAGATGTCAGAAGCAGGATCAGCCCTGGGAGAGGAGCACCAGAGCATCCGGCAGTTGTAGAAAACAAGGAAGCCTCCGCTCTCAAAGTGCAGAACCAGCCTGGTAGAAGCAGAGAAGTTGGATTTTCTCATCAGAAACATCTCTGAACTACTTGTTATGCTCTGCAGCTGGCCACTGTCTCAAGGCAAGGCGGCATCTTTAACAACTGCAACCATGAAGCTTGGTGGTGAACCCACACAGCTGGTGGAGAGTTTTTCCTTCTGCTGCCCTGTGACCCTGGTTGACAAAGCCTTCAGCAGGACAGTCCATGAATCAGAGAAATGGATGTTTAAATTATCACAAAAAACTGTTTCTAAAAACACTTGTATAGAAATAAAGTCATCCTTCAAAAAACCACACAATCATAGAATGGTTTGGGTAGGAAGAGAATTCAAAGATCATCTTGGACCACCCTCTGCCATGGGCAGGGACACCTTCCCCCATCCCAGGTTGCTCCAAGCCTGGCCTTGGAAACTTCCAGGGCAGCCACAGCCTCTCTGGGAAGCTGTTCCCCCTTGCTCTGTACAATTCCAGTGGGATACAGGACACAAAGCACAGCCATGTTTTCAATTCACTGCTGCCCTTTACAGCATCACTCCAGCCTGTGATTCCAGGTGTATGAGACGTTTGTTACTTATCCAAGGCTTTTTAAAAAACACCTAACAGGGAGAAACTGGCATTTTTTAGGGCATGATTCAGCCTGGCATCCTAAAAATTCTCTCAAGATAAAAATCTTAGAGCTGGTACTATAATCCCCAGACAACTTTATCCTACAATTCCACTGTGGATTCTCTGGTTCAACACACCCCACATTCACTCATGCCTTAAAAATTATCAGAGAAAATCAAGGCTAAGGGCATTCCCACACAGATTTGCTTTGGGAGACTAGAGGAAATACCTGGGCACAGGATCCTTCCAGTCCCCCCTTTTGTTGGCTCTGCTTGCCCTCGAGAACTCGTTTGCGCGGACGCTGCCGAACATGCCAAAGTGGATGCGCAGCCAATTGCCCCGACCCTCTGCTGCCTCTGGGGCTTCAGATCTTGAGTGCTGGGCTTCCTGCAGCTCCTCATCCTGGGAATGGGGATGTGGAACACCAGCCTGTCCTTGCTGTCCCTGGGCAGGACAGTGTTCCCCACAAGCAGCCTCTCTTTGCAGCGCTGTCTCTTCTGCAGTTGGCACAATGGGACCTTCAGCTGCCACAAATGCCAGGTACAAGTTCTTCCCATGAACCTGAGAAAAGAGGTGGGATGTGCTGATGAGCCATAAAGGATCATAACATTCCAGAAAGAGTTCAAATGGCCTTAAAGCTCATCTCATTCCAAGCCCCCATCCACTGGCAGGGACAACCTCCACTAGTCCAGGTTGCTCAGCCTTCATCCAACATGATTTTGCACAATTCCAGGGGTAAAACCTCTGGCTGTTTCCATACAAGTGACTTATTTTCTACAACCTCTATCAGAGGGCATATCAGCCCACCCTGAACACGGGATTCATCAGCTTCCAAGCCATTCCCATCAGAGCTGGGGTCATCCTTGCAGATTCCTTTCTTTGCCTGTCTGAAGCACAAGGTGTTTAGATGCCACTCAATTCTGAATCCCTCACAGGGATTCCCATCAGGGGTTTGAAATTTGTCATCACTTCTGATTCCTCTTCCCACTTTGTGCTGGGGCACATTTTGTGCTTTTGATTTTGCTCCACACCTTTAATCAGAGGTGAGGCTGCACCAGGGTTTGGCCAGTCAGGTCCAAATCATCATCTGGAGGTGTCAGGCCAGTGAAGCCCCAGCAGGACCGACCCAGTGTGACTTCTGACAAGTGCCCACAGCACAGACATCTCAACTTAGCCAGGTGAAACCCTCAGGGAAACTTTCACAGGTTCTGCACCTTCTGTCACCCAGGTGTGGGGCAATGGTGATTTCTGCTCTCAGACTTGTCATGGATCTGTAAATTCAACTCACCTGGGAGTCCTGCAGCCTCAGGGCATTCAGGTCATTGACACTGAGCTTCCTGCTGCTTCCCCCCACCTTGGCCACCACTTGTCCCACAAAAGGGGAGGTCAGCAGCTGGAACTTCCTCACTGAAGGGCCCTCTGGCATCTCCAGCAGCTGCAGGGGGATTAGCAGGTCCTTGTCACACTCTGCCCTAGACTTGAAGGGAAGCTGCAACTCAGAAATACACAAAACATTCTCCTAATTTTCCTCCTTAAGTTCCTGTGGTAAAATCTATGAAGATAA